ATTTGAGAATAAACCGTTTTTGTTAATCCCTCCGTCCCAATTATTTAGTCATGTTTCGAGAATCCAACTTTTTAAGAATAGTAATTTGACCGTGATGTTTGTATTTTTCTTTCCAATTTTTTCCATACAAATTTAAAATTTAAATTTGAATGATAAATAGAGACGATTAGAAAAAAGACTATATTGAAAAGAGAGATTAAAAGGTGTTTTAACTTTTTTAACATCACATATGTTTTGAAATATTTTAAAACATTTTAAAATAAAGGAAAAATGATCGGTTTCATCCTTCACATTTCACAAAAATATTCTTTTCGTCCCTCACTTTTAAAACGAAATAATTTCATCCTTGAAATTTAAAAACTGAAGTTCATATATCCCTGAACCCAAATTTCAATCTGAATCAAACCACCAATCAACCTGATTACAAATTTGGAGGGTGCAATTGGTAGATCATTTGGTTAACTCAACTTGATATTCATGTAAAATTTAATGAACCCAAAAACAAAAAATAAAAAACTATAACATAAAAAAGAAAGATTAATTTTTCCTACATTATTATTGTATACACTGACGATTTTATGTACCGTTATATCATTTCAATTTAAATTTAAACACCAAATTTTATATTTATGATACACATCTAGATTCGCAAGCAGATATACTAACGGTGTATGAAAAAATTTACCCAAAAAAACTCTACTATTCCAAGACAAAGAATGGTATTTTATGTTATAATTTTTATTTTTTTGGTTTAATAAATGTCATGTGAATATGATGAAATTGACCGAGTAATCTATCAATTTTATTTTCGAAATTTATTACTGGGTTATTGAATGGTTTGATTCATATTGAAAATTAGGTTCAGGGATGTAATAGTTTTAATTTTTAAATGTCAGGAACGAATTTGCTTTATTTTAAAAGTAAGGGACGAAAAAAATATTTTTGTGAAATGTGAAGGATGAATCAGGTCATTTTCCCTAAAATAAAAAGTACCCCAGTTTTAATGGAACGGAGGATGAGGGAGTATTTGCTTCTAGACGGGCCTCATTGGGCCAGGGCTGACTGTCAATGAGTTTATATGAAAAAACCTTAACTCAGTGACTTTAAATGGAGTTGAATTCTCGTCGTTTCTATCGATCGCTAGGGCTGTATAGGACTACTATTATATTGTTGCTGGGAGAATATGTCGAATCTTTGCAGGGTTCCCCAAGTTTGCAGCATCTATTCCAGACCGCAGGCAAGACCAAGATCTTCTCCATCGTCATCATCATCTCAGGCATCCCGGCCGTGGATTTTGCACTCGAAATCTAACAACTATTCCTTGATCGGCCGAAGTGGCTTCATGTCCCAAAGTTTGATCAGGTCCAATCCTTGCTTGGCAATGGCAGCCAAAGCCAAATTAGTGGATGATGATCGTGATCACGAGGAGGGATCCGAAGGGGGGATCCTCTCTCCAAAACCCTCTTTGGGCCCCCACTTGTTTATCCCTTCAAAGTTTGATATCATCGTCCATGACGATGACGACGACAACACCGGACTTCGTTCGGAATCTCAAGTCCCGGGTTCTCTAAATAGTAAGTGCGAGGATGACAGTTGTTTTCATATGCTGAGTGTCGAAGAAGAGAAACTAGTCAAAACTCCAAAGCATTTGGGAAATGCTCGTTGGGAAAGAGATCTCTTATTTCCCCCGGACGCCATCTGCATAGGCGCCTCGCATGGCTGGGTCGCATTCTTTAACTTGTTCAGAGACGGCGGAGGAGGATCTCTGTTTCTCGTCAATCCCTTCACCAGCGAAAAAACCGAGTATCCACCGTTTATTTCCCTTCCCCCGGTTGAGACCCTTCCTTTCATGGAGGCCTTGCGCACTTGCGCTGTGCCACCGAATCCGAATCACAGTTGTTGCTCCTCTGTCAGCTCCCGGCATCCACCTCTTTCCTCCGAATATATTGGGTTGAGCCGGAATCCCAGAACCTGTTTTGTGAAGTTCATTTTGTCTTCCGCTCCATCCCTTCCGGCTTACCCTTTTCAAAAAAAGCCGCGTGATCACCTGAACGAAGACTGCATTGCCGTGGTGATTGGAGGGGATAAAAATGAGCTGGCTTTTTGCAGGGTCGGGGAAACAAGTTGGCATGGCTTTGGGGGGGGACATCCTGAACGCGGTCCTTATTCTGACGTCATCTATTCCAGTACAGACCGGCTCTTTTATGCTTTAAGAGGTGGCGAATGGTATTTCCCAAAAGATGGTCGCTTTCATCCCTTCAGAGGCCCAGACAGGGTGGTAGCAGATGGAGAAATTGGAGACCCAGACACTCCACTATCATTTGATGATTATGAATTCTTCATACACGAGAGTGGGGTATCAGTTGAAATCTGGGACCTGAGTAGTAGTGGGACTCCAACAGGGCAGATTTGGGCTCAGGCTCCTTTACCGCTTACTAGTTTGTACGAAGCGGACCCAACTTTACGGATACAATTCTGCCACAGGAGAAGGTATTTAATAGAATCTTGTGCAGCGGAAGAGCTCCTGTTGGTTGAGAGGCAAGTTACTAGCTATATTGATGAGAATACAAACCAGCCTTATCCTCCGTGTGGATATAGGGGGTCTCGCCATTTGGGTCCATACACCGGCGAAGATGAAGTTACAAGCGGCAGGGCTCGAGACGACAAATACACGTACCGGACATGTTCCTTTAATGTTTACAAGTTGCACTGGAACTGGGAAGAGCATGCCTACCACTGGAAACCTATTAAATGTTTAGGGGATCAGGCCTTAATTGTTGGGCTGAATCAGTCCACGTCTCTGTCAACCATCGAGTACCCATTCCTCAAGAAGAACTCCATCTACTTCAGTGATGATGACATTGAAGAAATGGTCAAATCTGACAAATTTGGAGGCCACGATTTTGGTATTTACAGTTTTGGAGACGGCGAGGTTGGATCATTCATTTATACAGATGTCAAGAAATTTGAACAGCCTCCCGTCTGGATTCTGCCTAATCCAGTCTAATTTATTTTGCCACCGTGAATGCCTTAATATATATAGTGGTATAAAGTATTCATTTTGTTTTGCAACTTTCTCATATCTGTTCTTTTCCAGTACAAGCTTTAGAAATGGAATGAGTACGCCTTTGCTTTTTCAGTTTTTTCGTTGATTTAGCTACCTTTGTCAAGAAATTTGGCTGCAAAATAGTTTATTGCTAGTATTTTGGAGATGGCAAGCTCTAACCTTTCTTTTAATCTTTATTTAAAATCTAGTGAAGCATAATACGATTGGTTATTGTTGGGGTGTTAGTAAATTCCCATATTTTCTTATACTCAACGGGCTCAAAAAGGACAGCATTAGGGCCAAACTTGTTTGATTTAGTAACAAGAAAGGGACAAAAAAAAAATTAGATTCATGTTGTCACCTGTCAAGCTACACGTGACAAGAAAGGAGGCAAAAAATTACTGCATTTTTCTGAATTTTTTGTAAAAAAAATTACTGTAGCGATTTGATATATGTGAGGTAAAAAGGTGATGGGGAAATATGTTAACGGAAAACATAGTAATTTTTCTGAGGAAAATCGCAATCCAAACGGGGCCTAAATTCTCCTCCTTCTTCTTATTCGGTTATTGTTGACTTGTAATTCAATGCGAAACTCTTCTTTACTAGACATATTTTTGTTCTTTCATTTTTTTGTATACGAAATCTATTTAGTTTATTCTTTGGTCCCAACTTTTGCTGATATGATTACTGTTTCTTAATAATCGAGATCTTACCAGTTCCATACATAGTTATTTCAAGACACTCTAATTCCTTTATTTTCCTAACACGCTAATACACCCCTTTGTGTGATGTACAAGTAACCAATTTGCGTGGAAATATAATTAGGAAGGATTGGTTGTTGTCCCGCTGTCTGGACATTATTGACGCACCAATAAACAGGCACTTATTGAAAACGTTAAGCGATTATCATTTTAGTTTGTACCAAAAGATTTTCCTTTACTTGGCAGAAATTGTTTAGCCAAAAAAGGTTGTGTTTCTGTTAAGAGATGAAAATCTTTGGAACATCTTAAAACAGACAGTGAACTGCTAAAACAAGGTATACTTACTCGGATTTCTCTGTTCTCTTAGCTTTAAGGATATAAATGGGACATGGAAAACGGTGGTTGGTTAGAGGAAACTGAATATCCACTTCTTTGACTTCTAAACTACAACGTTGAAGAACATATGCAATGGAATGGCATGAAGAAGATAGGTGTAATATGAGGAGGGCCATGTAGGCTCAGATCGCCCGAGGCCTAGTCCTCGTGCCTTTCCTGAAGTGTCACCTAGGCTGTATCGTCCCGCGTGGCGATGGCAGACCGTTTACCACCTCGGCTACGACGTGAGGTCGTAGCACCGATGTGAGCATTGAATGACAACTGCGAAAAGGAGAGATGTGAACTCTGACACCTGGGCGAAGGCTGCTCTGACACGCCGCCTGAACCTGACAGAATGTCCCATCACGTCCTCTCATAAATACCGGTCAAGTCCCCCGGATGCACTGACTACCCCAGATCTCTAGGGACCCGTGCAGGCGTTCCCTCTCTCCTATCCATTCCCTATAAATACCCAACGTATCTACCAATAAAGGAGATGACCAATTTCTGGTAGACTTCTATCTCTATTCACTACTTACTCACATCTCTACAATCCGAACTGACTTAAGATTCGGAGTTATACCGGGGGATCCAGCCCCTTTTCTTATCTAAGCAGGTGACCTCGCTGAGGTGAGTCATCCAAGGCGCAAATATTCCTCCAGTTCGAGCGACTCACTTCTGCAGGTCGAAAGTCACCTCTTCAATTGGCGCCGTCTGTGGGAACGCAAAGGCATTGGAAAATGAAGCCTACGCGTTCTAAGAGCAGAAAAGCTCTCACCGTTGGGGCTGAGCAAAGCAATGTAGCCCAGCCAGAAGATATCTCCGAAGGGCAGGGGTCCCCAAGGACTCAGCCCGCAAACTAAGAAGCCATAACCCGTATGGCCGAGTTTGTGACCGAGAACCCCAACATCTTTGAAGAGTTGGGGAGATATCTGAAGAGGCAAGGCAAACAAAAGGTCGAGTCCTCCAAAAGGAAGTCAGATGGGTCTCCTGAAGACTCATCTGAGGAGGAGTCGGATGGAAGGCGCTTAAGCCGAAGTGCCTTGAAGCGAGCATTTTCTAAGGCCACCTCCAAGGTAGCCTCCCTGGCCAAGGCGTTTTCTCGAGGGCTCTTGGGGAGACGACCCGAAGAAGAAGCTCGGCCCTTGGGAATACCCGGGGTGGACTGCATGAGGGCTCCACCTTTCACAGATGATATAAACGAGGAAAGGCTTCCTCCCAATTTTAAGCTCCCCGCAGTACAATCTTATGACGGCCGAGGTGATCCCGAAGATCATATCCATGCCTTCATCTCGGCCTTCCGCCTATATTGCATTCCAAACCCCGTTATATGCCGGGCCTTTCCGGTATTCCTCCGAGGAACTGCTCGAAAATGGTTCTGGGCTCTAGAACCTAAGAGCATCTCGACTTTGGGGGAGTTAGTGGAGAAGTTTCTCCATCGGTTCATCTCCTCCCGACCTACGACCAGGACCTCGGCTTACCTGCTCACTGTGCAGCAAAATCCGGGAGAGTCACTTCGGTCGTATGTCCGGAGGTTCCACGAGAAAAGTGTGCAGATACCTGACCCCAATGAGCAGGTAACCCTTGCTGCCTTTACCCACGGACTCACTGCCGGGGAGTTCAATACGGGGGATCCATAAGAAGTACCCCCGCACATTACATGAATTGTGGTTGAAGGTTGAAAAGGGGATACAGGCTGAAGACCTCCACCGCATGAAGAAAGAGTTCCAAGCCACCCGTCCAAGAGCTGATCCCAGAAAGGGAAAAGACGCCAGCCGAACTGAAGCGGGGTCGGGAAGTGGCTTCCGAAGTCCTGGTCGAGACCGCCGCAGCGTGTTCGACAGGATATCCAAGGGGAAGACACATATCCCCGAGTCCGAGTTGACTCCTCTGAACACTACCCGATCCCACGTGCTATCCGTGATGGAACAAAACAACCTTGGAAAGGCCCCACCGAGGATGTTTGGAAGCAGAGACAAGAGGAACTCAAACCTCTACTGCTTGTATCATCGTGACATCGGTCACGAAACTGAGGACTGCAACGACCTCAAGAAGGAGATCGAGAACCTCATTAGACGAGGGCATTTGAAACAGTTCATCCGCCGAGGTGGAGGCCAACAACGTGACGAGAACCGGCGTGACAAGCGAGGTGACCAACGCCGAGATGAGAGGCGGACCTCCAGAAGCAGTTGCCGACCTCCTGAGGATCACAGGGAGACGAAAAGGCCTCCCCCAGACGGATCTTCAGGATACTGGTTGGGATATGAGCCGAACATTGCCGGAGTCATCAACACAATTGCCGGAGGTCCGACGGGAGGGGACAGTCAGAACTCCCGGAAGAGGACTTATAGGCAGGCCAATCCGGATCAAGCCGAGTCGAGTTCTCGCCTGTCCGAGGTGATCACCTACGGACCCAGTGACCCCGTCCCAGCTGCCTCTAGCAGTCATGAAACTTTGGTGATTGAAGTCCTCACCAACAACTACATTGTGAAAAAGGTCTATATAGATCCGGAAAGTTCAGTGGACGTCATGTACCTCCGCACCTTCGAGAGCCTTAAGCTGGCCAGGGAGCACATGACTCCGGTAAGAACCCCTCTGGTAGGGTTCGGGGGACACGTTGTACACCACGAGGGAATGGTGACCCAGACGGTGACCGTGGGGCACCATCCCCGCTGCCGAACTATTCCAGTCAACTTCGTGGTGATTAAGGCCGACTCTTCATACAACTTACTCTTAGGTCGGCCTACCCTTAATGCTCTGCGGGCGGTGTACTCGACCTATCACCTCAGTTTTAAGTTTCCTACCCCCGCGGGAGTTGCCGAGGTCAGCAGCGACGTCTGCGCTGCTCGAGAGTGTTACCTCGCCACTCTACAAGCAGCCTCCCCATCAACCTCCGGAACGAGGTCCGGGAAGAGGTCAGACATCCTCTTAATAGATAGCATCGACCCTCAGCGAGCTGAGAAGGTCCCGAGGCTGGAGACTGGGGATGAGGTGGAAGAGTTTCCCCTAAACCCCACGAAGCCTGATCAGACAGTTCGCGTCGGTACCCGACTGCCCGGTCCTGTCCAAAGAGGTATGGTGGACCTCCTCAGAGAATACCGGGACGTCTTTGCTTGGGCCGCCGAAGAGGTCCAAGGAGTCCCGCACCACCTCATGATGCATGAGCTGAACGTCGACCCCCAAGCCCGTCCGGTCAAACAAAAGAGAAGGTACCTCGGCCCTGAGCGCAGCCGAGCTGTTGGTGAAGAAGTTGACAAGCTCTTACCCGCAAAAATAATCCGGGAAGTCCAGTACCCAACCTGGGTCTCCAACCCGGTCATGGTCAAGAAGGACACGGGGGCTTGGAGAATGTGTGTTGACTTCACCGACCTCAACAAGGCCTGTCCCAAGGACTGTTACCCATTGCCCAAGGTCGATACCTTAGTAGACTCGGCAATGGGGTACGAGATCCTCTGTTTTCTGGATGCATTCAAGGGTTATCACCAAATTGGTATGAGCCAAGAAGACCAGGAGAAGACAGCCTTCTATACTGACCGCGGCACGTACTGTTACACTACCATGCCCTTCGGGCTGAAGAATGCCGGAGCCACTTACCAACGCTTGGTCAACCAAGCCTTCAAGTCTCAGATCGGCCGGAACGTGGAGGCCTATGTAGATGACATCCTACTCAAAAGCCAAACGACCTCCGCTTTTCTGGCCGACCTGAAAAAAGTTCTTGATATTCTCCGGAAGACACGAATGATGCTGAACCCCAAGAAGTGCGTCTTTGGGGTCACCTCGGAAAAATTCCTCGGCTACCTCGTCTCAAGGCGGGGAATAGAAGCGAATCCGGATAAGGTGCGAGCCATCCAGGAGATGTCTCCACCTCGGTGCATCCGCGATGTCCAAAGGCTAACGGGGCGGTTGGCCGCCTTGAACCGGTTCTTATCGCAGTCAGCCTCCAAAGCCCTGCCATTTTCAAAGTATTGAAAAAAGCTGACCAATTCTCCTGGACTGAAGAGTGTCAGCAGGCGTTTGAACAACTGAAGGATTACCTTCACCACCTTCCAACGTTCACCTCACCTCGTCCAGGGGACAAATTGATCCTATACCTTTCCGCCGCGGTCGAAGCCGTGAGTGCCGTGCTGATAAGGGAGGAAGGAGTCCAGATCCCTGTTTACTACGTTAGCCGAGTCCTCCGAGGTCCGGAGACGAGGTACACCCAAGCGGAGAAACTTGTGCTGGCCCTGATTCATGCAGCCCGCCGACTCAAGCCCTATTTTCTAGCTCACCACATTTGCTTGAGGACTGATCAACCACTCCGGCAGATCTTGACACGACCTGAGGCTTCGGGACGTCTTACCAAATGGGCCATTGAGCTGGGGGAGTACGACCTCTCTTATGAACCCCGCACAGCCATCAAGGCCCAGGCTCTCGCGGACTTTTTAGCCGAGCTCACCTTTGACGAGGTGAAAGAACCCATCCCAGCTACCACCTCGGTGGAAGCTGAAGTGGCCATCGCTGGGCTCCAGCGATAGATTCTACACGTGGACGGGTCATCCAACGGTGAGGGTAGTGGGGCAGGCCTGCTCCTCGAAGACCCTCAAGGAGATGTGTATTCATACGCCCTGAGGTTCAACTTCGCTGCCTCCAACAATGAAGCCGAATACGAGGCTGTTATAGCTGGTCTGCAGTTAGCCCGCAAGCTCGAGGCCTCACACATTTTGGTGTACAGCGACTCCCAACTCATCGTGTGCCAAATATTAGGCGAATACGAGGCCAGAGACGAAGTGATGCATCGCTATCTCTCTAAGGTCCACCAGCTAATAGCACACTTCGAGTCCTTCGAAATCCAAAGGATACCACGGTCACAGAACCGGAGGGCTGACGCTCTCTCCCGGCTCGCGTCTACTTCTTTTGCCGACCTAAACAAGACGGTTCTCGTAGAAGTCTTAACCGAGCCGGGGTATGAAGGAGAGGTCGTGTACCCCATCTATTCCGGGGACACCTGGATGGGGCCCTTAACTCGATTACTCAGCCATGGAGAGCTCCCTGAGGACCGAGCTGAAGCACGAAAGCTTCAGCGAAAAGCAGCTCGGTACACCCTCCGCGAAGGCCTTCTCTACAAGAGGTCTTACCTCGGCCCCTGGCTGCGATGTATCACCCCGGAGGAAGGCGAGAGAATCCTCCAGGACATTCATGAGGGACTCTGTGGTGCCCACGTCGGCTTTAGGATGCTTGTGAAGAAAGCCTTGCTGCTTGGGTACTTCTGGCCCACCATGAGGATAGATGCCCAGGTCATGGTACTTTGTTGCCCTTCCTGCCAGCACCACGCCCCTGAGCACCACCAGCCGACCAACCTCATGATACCCATCACCTCGCCGTGGCCATTCGAGCAATGGGGAACTGATATAATCGGTCCATTCCCCAGGGCTCCAGGCAACTATGCTTACGTGGTGGTAGCAGTAGACTAGTTCACCAAATGGGTGGAGGCCGAGCCCCTGAGAAGCATCACTGGAACTGCCGTCCAAAAATTCTTTTGGAAGAACGTGGTCTGTCGCTTCGGCCTGCCCCGAGTGGTCATCTCGGATAATGGTAGGCAGTTCGCCGATAACCCTTTCAAAACATGGTGCAAAAACCTGGGAATCAAGCAGCACTTCACCTCGGTTGGACACCCTCAAGCAAATGGACAAGCTGAAAATTTCAACCGAACTCTCCTCCACGGCCTCAAAACCAGGCTCCACCGGGCTGGATCGTCGTGGATAGAAGAACTCTCCAGTGTGCTGTGGTCCTATCGAACCACCCCGAGGTCAGCAACTCAAGAGACCCCGTTCTCTCTAACCTATGGGTCCGAATCTGTAGTCCCTGCCGAGTTTATCACCCCAAGTCCACGAATGGCCGCGTACGCCGCCGAAGTCAATGAAGAAGAACGGCGAGTTGACCTCGACCTCGCCGAGGAAAAGCGTGATATGGCCGCGGCCAAAATTGCTATTTATAAAAATATCCTAACTGGCTACTACAACGCCCGGGTCAAACATTTGCGGTTCAATCCGGGAGAACTCGTGTTTCGGAAAAACTCGGTCAGCCGAGTTGAGGCTCAGGGCAAACTGACCCCGAAGTGGGAGGGACCTTATCGTGTTGTTGAGTCCAGCCAAAATGGATATTGTAAGTTAGCTTATCGAGACGGTTCTCGAGTGCCTCGGACTTGGCATGCTGAGAATCTTAAGTTGTATTACCCTTGAAGGGTACGTATTCTAAAAATTTTAGCTCTTCAAGTTATTTCTCACTTATTCTTGTTTCATCGCAAGTGAAAAATAAGAGGACAAAGTAGTACAAAGTAGTATGCAAAAGAAAAAATTCGGTTCGATCAAAGAAGGCAGAAAATGTACGAGAACAAATAGTTGATTTCATTGAAGAATAAAAAGTAAAAGGCCGAGGTCATAAAATGACCCCGGCGCACTATTACAAAAGATGAGTGCCTCTAAGCACCTCCTACCCCGGCATCCTGACCCCCCGTGGTCGCATCTCCCGTTTCGGCATCTTGTCCACCCTCAGCTCCGCCGCCGGCCTGGTCGTGTCCGCCCTCAAAGCCTCCGCCGGCCTGATCATCTTCAGTACCGTCTAGCTCAAACTCCTGGAGCCATTTGTTGAACTCAGCTCGGACATCGGCTAGGTCTTTCCCAGTCCGGATGCCCTCAGCCATGCGGTCGCATAGCTCTTTGGCATCCTCGTTATAGTCCGAAGTGCCTTGAAGGGACTCCAATTCTTCAGAGGAAAGAAAGGGTGTCGCGTCATTAATGGCCGACGTGTACCCGAACATGAAGCTTGGCCGGGTAACCTCGGCGAGGTCACGAATGAAGGACTCTGACGTCCGGAAGGCTTCCATAGCAGTGACCCCGGCTTTGTCCATGGCCTCGTTGTTTGACTGCTCCTCCTGGGCCCTTCTTCTTTTTTCCTCGTCAAGCGCGGTGATCAAGGGGTTGTTTGCGACTTCGGACTTCTTCCTTCCCGCCTCGGCCTTGTCGCCCTTCAGCTCAGTTGCCCTTAGCCTACTTTCCAGGTCGGCAATCTTTTTCTGGAGCTCGGCGGGCGGCTCGAAGGTTTCCATGAAACGTCCGTAGCGTTGGATCATTTCGGCAAAGAAAGCCGTGGTGGAAGCCCAGGAGACCGAAGCACTCTGCATCAGCTCACCCGGAGTGAGCTTCCTGGCATAAGTACTGTCTCGGGGCAATACCGAGTGCACCAAAAGCTTGCACCGGTCGTTGACATTAATCTCCCCCTCCGGACACCAGTGGGATCCGGGGTGCCTTTTGTCCTCCTCGGCCGCCTTGGAAGGTACATGGTGGAGGTTAAACAGAGAGGACCCCGTAACGGGGTTATCCGGGAACGCTGTCACACCTTGACCCCGGGGTGGAGTTGCTATTGTGACCCCTCGGATAGGGACCCCCACTGGGATGGCCGAGGTGCGGGAGTCTCCGGGAGTGGCCGAAGTGTGTGAGCCCTCGCCCACAATCACTACGGTAGGTTCGCGGTCGCTCGTCGCCGCGGTGGATTTCTTAGTAGGCCTGGTAGAGGACCCTGTGGCATCTTTGCGCTTCTTGGGGGGCCTCTTCGCCACCTCGACGTTCCCCGAGGTGATCAGGTCAGAAATCTTCGTCACTGCATGGCATAAAAAAGAGTTAGTTAGAATTCAAGAAGGATAAACTAAAAAAGGGAAGTGGAAAAGTACAAGGTATGTGAAGTATAGAAGAAAGGAGGATGGGATGATCCGAGCTGATCAAGGCTCGGCTGAGCCCGCCTTCCACTAGAATCACTTCGGGACAATCCCAGCAGTTGATCCTAAGGCCCGACCCCGTTAGCTTCTGGAAGTTGCGTTCTTCCAACTTGCCCGGGGATACCTCCTTCACCGAGGTGGGCGGCCTCCACCAGAACCCCCGAGGAAAGTCCTCGGCCGGGACGAAGAAGAAGTTTCTCTTCCACTCCTTTATTGAGCTCGGAGCATCATACACCAGCTTTGGAACCTTGTTGCCGAAGTAGAACCAGCCCTTCTCACTCCCGCTGTTCTTAAGCGAGTAACATCGGCGGAAGAGGTTGACCGTGAGCTCTATCTCCTGATGCCGGCATAGCAACTGGAAGCCGACCAGAACACGGATTGCGTTAGGAGTGAGTTGGGTGATTCTCACCCCCCAATACCTGAGGCAGTCTCGGAGAAACCTCGTGGTTGGCACTCTGAGCCCGGCCTCCAGTTGATCTACATAGATAGCCACCCTGTTATTCGGTGGCAGGGCGGCTGACTGGTGCGGCAGAGGAATGTAAATACTGTAGTCCCTCCTCCAGGGATACCTGCGGATCACCTCGGCTACGGAGGTGTGCCCCATGCTACTGCTGAAGCTCGGCATCTGGCCGTAGGTGAGTGTCGCTACGTTCGGCGGAGTAGAAGGCTCTTGAACACTCTCGTCCCTCGGGACCTCGTTCCCGAGCTCATCGTTGTACAAGACCTCGGATTCGACCTCGGTGTCTTCGGGCTGCTCTAGAGTTCTGGCCTGGTGAGACGTTTCCGCCTGGTGTGAGCCCTCGGCTCGGTGAGACGCCTCGGCACCTCCTTCTCCGACCTCGGTCGCTGTCCTCTCTTCGGAGGGGTCGGGCCTCTCTGCCTCGACGTAGTCAGGCCTCACCGTCTCTTTGTGCGTGCGAGCTGTTCTAACCATTGTACCAAAGGGGGAAGAAGTGAACTTACTCAGAATCTGCGACTGTCTGAAGTTGCCGAAGTGGATGTGGTTTAGAAAGGTTGCCGAAGTGAAAATAGAAAGAAACAGAGCTCCAGGGTGAAATCCAAAGGACGGCACCCTCTCTCCTCATTAATGAGGGGACTGTTCATCTGCCTGCACCGCTGACAGCCGTCCCTTCAGCTTCCACTCAGTCACATCCATGCGGTCATGACGTGTCCATGAGTCCGTGTCTTATACGCCTCTCAGCTTCGGGAAGTAACGACCTCGGCAAATTCCCATCTCGCCCTTCCCAAAGCTTGGGGGGCTGTGAGGAGGGCCATGTAGGCTCAGATCGCCCGAGGCCTAGTCCTCCTGCCTTTCCTGAAGTGTCACCTCGGCTGTATCGTCCCGCGTGGCGATGGCAGACCGTTTACCACCTCGGCTACGACGTGAGGTCGTAACACCGAGGTGAGCATTGAATGACAACTGCGAAAAGGAGAGATGTGAACTCTGACACCTGGGCGAAGGCTGCTCTGACACGCCGCCTGAACCTGACAGAATGTCCCATCACGTCCTCTCATAAAGACCGGTCAAGTCCACCGGATGCACTGACTACCCCAGATCTCTAGGGACCCGTGCAGGCGTTCCCTCTCTCCTATCCATTCCCTATAAATACCCAGCGTATCTACCAATAAAGGGGATGACCAATTTCTGGTAGACTTCTATCTCTATTCACTACTTACTCACATCTCTACAATCCGATCTGACTTAAGTTTCGGAGTTATACCGGGGGATCCAGCCCCTTTTCTTATCTAAGCAGGTGACCTCGCTGAGGTGAGTCATCCAAGGCGCAAATATTCCTCCAGTTCGAGCGACTCACTTCTGCAGGTCGAAAGTCACCTCTTCATAATAACTTCTATATATATATATGTGTGTGTGTTTAAATTATGTTTAGTTTTGTAAATATAAGCTTTAAGATATTTGTTTAGTTTATGATAAACTGCGTTATATTTCCATCTATTTGGTGAACATCCGGTTGTTAATTTTATGCTTTTATGGCTCCTCTCGATGACAAATCCCTTGAGGGTGAGACCTGGCCTGTCTTCTATGGCACCAGTTGCTGGAAATTTGAGTTTCAGGGGCCATAGCCTTTGTTTGAGAATCGGGCATAGTCTAATACATGTAGGCAGAAATTTTTTGGATCACGATGGATTCTCTTTTCATTATCCCTTTCTTCTTATTTGGCCGCTTACCCTAGCCTTCTCTGCCTGATTTTTAACACATCTAAGTTTTTCTCTCATCGCTCTCTCTTTTTTTTTCTTTTTTAAATAGATGTATACGTGTATTTCTACTGCAAGTATTTTGCACATTTATTCTTTTTATTTTTTTAAATAGTTTTATGTGCATTTCTACTACAAGTAATTTGCACATGTTGTTTCTTGAGTAAAAATTATTATGACAAGAGGCGTTTTCTTTTGCCACTTTGAATGTCTAAATATGGTATGTAACTCATACTACAACAAATGAATATTTCAAAAGATTTTGTTCCATATTGGAAAACCAATCACATAATCAATCCCCCCCTTCCCCCCAATTAACTAACCAGCAGGAGTACGCCAAAACTTCTTATTAAGAAAAAAAATCAAAAGGTTGAAGATGATGCATTTTATGATGAAGATGCAATTTTCAGGAGGAGACGGCGAAGATGTTTTCGACCAATGGAATCTAAAAAGTTGTTATGGACCAAAAAGAAAGCACGTGTATTTTTTCATGCAATTTGTTATATATTCTATTTTGGTGCATGTAAATTAAATACATAAATATATCACTAACTACTGTTCTATTACCAGTCTAAAATGCGCAACGGATCTTCTGTACCAAATCCTGTCTCACATCCTGTTCCACTCCTTAGGATCTCGCCAAGTGTTCCTTAATAAACCAAACACTCGAACAACCCAACTCGGATCATATTAAATTAATTAATCGATTAATCGGACAGAAAACTTAAATCCATTCAATCTCTATAACCAAACCGATTAAAATAAAAACTCTTTAACCAAAATCACAATTTATCAACAAAAAAAACCCTAAAACCCAAACAATCTCTGTCCTCTCTTCATCATCTTCACCAACTTTCTAGGACCAGTTTCCTCGCACTGATTTGTGTTCCTTACCATAAATACCTCCAACAGTCATCATTCAGTTGAATACTATCATTATGTGTTGCAGGGAGATAGGGGTAGAGAGGGGCTATGCGTATTTTTCTTTTTAAATGACGTCCTAATTGAAGAAAAAAGATACAATGGCGAAGCAGCAGCAGCAGCAATGGAATGCCTGTCGTAATGGTAGTTGGGGAGCTATTGATAATAGCAGTTGTATCAGGTTACACAGGAGCAATGGCAATAGCAATAGCAATGGCAATGGCAAGAGTTTCTCCCTTTTCTTCCCCTCCTCATGTCTACCAAATTGGTTCAAATGTATACAGACAGCAACAACATAGAGATCGCCCGCCGGTTGTTTGACAAATTGTCTGAACCAAACGTGTTCGCTTGGACTGCTATCATTTCGTTCTACTCGCGAAATGGGACTTTTAACGAGTGCATATTCACTTACAAAGAAATGAAATTCAAGGCCGTGTTGCCTGATAATTCAAGGGCTTTGCCTATTCGGTATTTTCTCAAATGGAATTGAGGGATTTGGTATCATGGAATACAATGATTCGAGCCTTTGGAATGAATGGCTGCGGCCAAGCAGCTGTTAAACTCCTTGAGGAGGTGTGTAGTTCTGGTGTTAGTCCCAACTCTTTGACATTCTCTTCTGTGCTGTCAGCTTGCAGTCATTCTGGTCTTGTAAACGACGGTCTCAAGATTTTCGACAGGATGAGCACTGATTTTGGCTTCAAACCTCAGACAGGACAGTTTACATGTCTTGTTGATTTACTAGCACGGGCTGGTCAGCTTGATGATGCTGTTGACTTCATCAGAAAAATGCCTCACGAGCCTGATAAACATAGCTGGGGTTCTATACTTGCTGCCTCTCTAGAACAGCAAAGCATAAGAATTGGAGTCCTGGCTTTAGAGCATCTGGTCAATCTGGAGCCAGAAAATGCTGGACACTACGTGACATTGTCAAATTTATATGCTAAAGCTGGAAGGCCAGATGATGCTGTGAGAGTACGGAGGTTAATGGAAAGCAGAGGATTGGTCAAGCAATTTGGATATAGCAGTGTTAGTTTAGTGGCATCATTCAATTCTCAGAGGGTTTGTTCAAGGCATTATTTCCAGATTCGTACAATCATTTTTATCCAGAGGATTAGTACCTCATTCAGTTTGTTGAAGCTAACTCTCTTAAAAACATATCTAGTTGCTGGAACTTGCCCCATAATGAGGCTACAGAAATTTCAATGGTACTGATGTTGTTTGGACTCTGGGAAGTCAAGCAGAGTAAGGAAAATTAAAAGTATATTAAACCAACAAGAAACGTCTCACAGATGCTCAAAATCAACACCAAAATTTTGTGTAAATATTTGGAAAATAATACCCTACCTTCAGTACAAACTTCTCCAAGTTGGGTGAAGCACTTATAAAAGAAGTAAATCCAATCAAACTGTCATCTTTTGATGCACAAGCAACTAAGATGAACTGCTTCAAATTAGTTAGTTGAGGAAGATAATTAAGGATTCCTTCTTCCTGGGACTATCAAACAAGAAGTAAAAATCAAGCAAGTCAGGAACACCTGAGAAGTAATTATACATAATACTCAAACGAAATTCTATCCAAAATTCCTATTAATAAGTTGAGTTAACCTCTGAAATAGCAAGCTTTGACGCATATAAACTAAGAAACTCTAGTTTCGCCAAGCAGCAGAAAATCCCAGAAATAACATTCCTGATTGAGTTACGGAACCACCCAGAGAGTGATACTTCCACAAGCATGGGGACATTCTGAAGAACCACACTATCTACTTCAGTAATTTTAAGAGAGACTAGATTTGTATCCCGGATAGTGATTGATTTTAATGTGAAACACTGGCATATCTCCAGAAATTTCAATGCAAGAGACGGACCACAAACTTCAAAATTTACCAAACTTGAACACTGATGCAACACTAGGCGCTCAAGGAATGGGCAATTGCGTATGAAGCATTCAAGAACATCCCCAGTCACTTTCAGACTTTTCAAGCTCAATGTTCGCAGGGACTTTAAGTCAGTCAGAGAACAAGGATGAATATCACCATAACCAGGTTGAGATTTCTGTGAAGCTTTCCCACTGCCGAAAACCAGGCATTATTTCCTACAATCATTTTTATCCAAATTATTTTCTGTCAACATCCACTAGTATTGGAAATTAAGACGATTTCTTGTATGCATCAAGAATCCAGAGCAGCTCAACTAATATATCTCATCTTCGAAAGCGGAAGTATCCATTACCCAGTACAAATTTACACTAAAACTAAATATATTTCTACCATGAAACAACCGTGAATTTCAGCTCAACTAATATATCTCATCTTCTACAGTTTAGTCAAAAGAATGTTTATTAACAGAAATTTAAACAAAATTATCAAAATCAATTGAAGTATAAGCACAAAGTATTATTCCACTTAAAGGTCTAACTAATCCATGAATGCAATCCCACAGTCTCGTCCTCCATTTCTTCAGAAGCATCTTCATTCAATATTCCCATTTTCAACAACTTGTTGATCAGAATCATCATTATTTTCAAGTTCTTGTGCCTACAAAAACGGACCCAAAGTTAGCAAATATATTGAATTATAATTGTAAATGATCAAACTAATATATATAAAATTAAATAATTAATCAAGGTTTTTTCTTACTTGGACAAAACTTATTGATGCATGTTGTTGTGCTATTGAACTTGAAGACATCAAATCATAGCCTTGGTAGAAGTTAGGGTCCAACGTCTGCCGAAAAAACAAGAAATAAAAGACTACACATACAAACAAACAGCTATAAACTTGCAAAACTATAATACTTGGAAAAAATTAAGATAAATAAGAAACAACATGCAACTAATGGTTGACATAATATCTACAAAAACTACTATTCACTTACTTGTAATAATTGTGTCATGTTCTTAGTATTTTGCCTATTGCAGATGTCTTCTATTGGAATTCCAAATTTCTGATATAATTAAAGAGAGACAACCACAAATTAAAAATATCATTGGCAAAATATATCTTCGATGTAGTTTAGTCATCTAAGAATAAAATATTCAAATACAAATTTAGAATGAATTACATATCTACTATACTAAACAAGAGAAAATACAAATTTAAGTTGTATCGAAACATACCACATCACCAAAATGAGCAAAATCCGTTCTCATCTTTGCATTAGCCCAAAATATGTTAGTTATCAAGTCATCTTCATCTACTTGAATGGCATAATAAAAATTTGGGTCCTCTAATTGCATCCTTTGTAAGTACTCTAAGACTCCTCCTGTGTCACCTTGCATCATTGGTATGGATCTTTTGGATCGTAAGTAGTTTTTTAAATCATCTCGAATGAATCCAAGATTTTCTCGTCCACCAACTTGTTTCGACATCAGTTCAATTGATTGTTTTGGTGCAATTCCACAACTTCGGGCCATATCTATTTCAGCTTCATGCGCCATTGTCATGTGTCTATGAGATCTAAATAAATGGGTTTTGCTCGGAGTTGATTGCTCATGATTATGTTGTGCAACAAATTACACAACACGGTATTTTCCAGCTTGTCTACAACTAATTTTCATCCTTGCACCACAATCACATCTTGTTTCTGGACGCGGACACTTAACAACCATATTATGTTTGTCTTTTGGCCTTTTTCCTTCACGGGAGCAGCAAAAAACCCTGTCCAACATCATATCACTATTTTTGTCTTTATGTCCCTTACTCAATCGAGTTCCAAACCCAGATGCTTTGGCATATTTTTGGTAAAAATTTCTAGCTGCTACTTCAGTAACAAATTCCATGCCAAGTTTCCGGACCAAGTCATCTGGTATAGCCAAAGGAAGAAAAATTTGATTTCCTTGATTGCCATCAGTAATATAAAGAGGTAAGGCATTATCATTTATCTCCTGCCAATCAACATCTTCAAAGTCCAATTTACGATATGATTGGATTTCATGAGTCGGCAAATCATTCTCCATATCTTTCCAATCACAAAGGCGTAAAGCAACATAAGAAATCTATACCCCAAATGAAATATGCAAAATTCTATTTAACACTTGAAAAATATGGATCGTACAAATATAAGGATGTTGAAATTCCTAATTATGAACCAACAAATGGAAGCTCTTTTTTTGTGTAATTTAGTAATTCACAAATAATTTTTAAGAAAAGAAATGGTTGATCATATTAAACTAAGAGCTCTATCATATTGTTCATGTACAGATCCACAAAATTTCTCAAACTGGAATAAGACCAATACTATTCCTCCATCAATTTCAGCAAAGGAAGAACATTACAGCCCTATTTGCATGAATACAAATTCCAAGAAAAAAGTTGCCATGTTTGTTCCTAAACAACAGCTAGGAATAAAAAGAAAAAATGTCACCTTGCAAAGATCCAAGAAAAAGTGGAGAAAATTTTGAACAAAACCAACATATTCACAACTGCTATGTTCTTTTTATGTTTAGACATGTACTCCTGAGGTTACATAACCTTTGTAATTTTTGAGAATAATGCAGCCACACGAAAAAGGGAAATCGAAAACACAAAAAGTAAAAAAAAAAAAAAATCCCAATAGGGCAGCTGTATCAGGTTACTGGAAGGCCACTTGGAACGGACAAGTCTATCTACAGTGGATCTAAATATGTTGGGGTCTAGAAAGCACTTGTTTTCTACCAGGGCAGACCTCCAAAGGGTATCAAGACTGATTGGATCATTTTGAATATCGCTTGAGTGAATCAAGATCTCAACCTAATAAGCAAAATGATTCCATGAGGGTAACCTAACAATTATGCAATGTAGTTAGATGTAGTGGTATCATTAATTATGTGGTCCTGGCTTTTCTTCAAGGTGCGTAATTGCAATTGTAATCGATAGTTAAGCCCTTCAAAAACCGAAGTTAAAGTCATTGTCTTGTAACATTAGATCATCTTTTACATGAATTTTCACTATTCTACTAAAATTCAACAACGTTCCTCTTTTGTATTTCAATTCAAAAGGAAAATTCAACAGAAAATCTAGGCAACCGTTTATCAGTATATTTAAACACATAAGTTTGCATAGAAATCACACAAAATGTAGAAATGCCGAACGAACAGATACTTCAAAAAAGTGTGGAATATGGATGCACAGGAAAATCATAGACCAAACAGATAGTACACATATTGCCTTCAGATTTGCTAAACTATGAAGAGAGCAATAACAATTTCTAACGTTTCCTTTTTGTATGTTTGTTGCAGCCGGAATTATTGATTGGGTTCTTTGCAGAATTTATAAGAAGAAAAATTTTGGAAAAGCCCTTGATATCAAAGCTGAAGATCAAAGTACCGAGACTGTGACAACGGCTGATGCGGCTAGTTGTGAACCACAGCAAATACAGTTGTCGAAATTCCCAAGGATTTGCTCGCTATCTCATCTATGGGATACGGAGTGCATGGGCACAATTTCACAGCTATTCGGAGACAATTCTTATAATGCAGTCTGCGATAATCAAAACATAGTTAACAGCAATGGAAATCATGTTTCAAGACAATTAGGAGAAGTCCTACATCAGTTCCAGGGAAATCATGTTTCAAGACAATTAGGAGAAGTCCCACAACTATTTACGTGTGCTTTCGTGAAACATACTACTAAAGCATAAAAGCCAAAAACTAAAGCATAGAAGCATATTACTCACAATGGGGCAACTTATGGTGGGCGTCAGTTGTAAATTGCGCAACGGATCATCAAGTTATCTGTTTGAATGGTGAAGATGATGAAGAGAGGACAGAGGTTGTTTGGGTTTTAGGGTTTTTTTTGTTGATAAATTGTGATTTTGGTTAAAGAGTTTTTATTTTAATCGGTTTGGTTATAGAGATTGAATGGGTTTAAGTTTTCTGTCCGATTAATCGATTAATATGGTTTGGGTTGTTTAGGGTTTGGTTTATTAAGGGACACTTGGCGGGATCCTAAGGAGTGGGACAGGATGTGAGAAAGAATTTGGTACAAAAGATCCGTTGCGTTAAAATAGTCATAGAACAACGATAACAAAAGAATGCGGGAAAGTGCGTACTACTAGCGTTTGTACATTCAGAAAATTAAGTACTAGTAGTAATGTTTTTATGTTCCTGTGAAAACACTAAAAATGACGAAAGAAAAGAAAATGGATGGCAGTTTGTCCACAACAAGTTGCGTTGCTTGTCCACAAATGTTACGGTACACTGTCAGCACTCCCTCCATTAATTTATGTGGCTGCAAACTTTGCTCTTGTAATGTTAGAACAGCACCGGAGTATGGCGTCGCTAAGACATTGATTGGTGCAGCAAAACCGGTGTTAGGACAAGAGCAATTAATCATCATCATCCAAAGAAAAAGAAGAGGCTATTTTTTTTGTATATTTAATAAGGAAGGAAGTTGCATGCGAAAGCTAGCGATGCTGAGATAAAGTGCCTTCAAAGGCCAGGGAAAATCCAAACCGGATGGGGGTCCATCTTCCTGTACTCGTCCTGATACAGGACATCAATTTCTCGATTCTTCATGCTGAAAACACCCAAATGATAAGCTCCAGAAGTAGTGTTGGGCTCAACTTCAGCATCTACACAAGTGAAGTAGATAGAATCTACTCTTAGTCTTAACCCCGGATTAATGTAATCCCCAGCACATACGGAAATACATTCATTAGTACCCAAGAACAATGAGCGACCCCCTAAGCTCGTCACTTTCATCCACTTGTTCTCATCAAAGTCCAACTTGAAAACATCAAAGCACTTTGTCAACCTATGGGCACGTTTCTCTGGCACATCAGCTTTGAAAGTTTGGAAATACCTCAAGACTAGCAGCAATTCACCCGAAGAATCTACAAGATACTTCTTCCGACATAGCTGTGCTCTCTCTAACTCATCACCGCTGTTCAAGTCAGCAAAAAAACGAAGCGAAGGATACTCAGATTTTACGAGAGTCATCTTGGGAGAAGATGGGCAACTGAGATCCCAGGCTTCAAGGTGATCACTCTCGCACAAAGCATAAAACTTTTCATGCTTGCTCAAGTACATAATATCTTGATAAGAGGAGCGCGGTCCATTCAATGCCGTCCAAGTTTCATCCCCAACCCTGCAGAAGGCAAGTTGAGTATCTCTTCTATTATATCCATGGATAATCATAACGCTACATGGTTTATCACTGCCGCCGCCGCCCGATTCGTGAAGATTATGAGGAGAAGAATTAGACGGGAATGGGGGTGGGGAAGAAGACAAAATAACCTTATGAATGAAGGATTTGCTCAACTCTTTCGAACATACCGGTAAAATTCCACCAGAACAAGTAAAAGTTGCTTGTGTTGAGCAAGAAAACTGATACTTGCTCTCCAATGTAACGAACTGTAATCCGAGCTTTGGCTTCCTTGGGCGGTAAGGGTGCAGTTTCTGAGACACCTTACACAGAACTGTTGGAAGAGTCTCAATTGGTGGAAGTGGGATAAATGGGAAGGAGAAGGAATCAGCGGGGACAAGGGGGTTGAAGAGGTAGAAAGATCCATGGTGCATATTCACGAAGGCAAGCCAGCCTTTTGAAGATCCAACGCATTTAGAATCATCAGGCGAGAGATACCGGCCAAGCCACATAGTCCTCATGTTCTTCTCAACATTAAGCAGTTTCCTGTTTGCAAAGTTCAAGACATGATAACGCCCTGGATCGTCTCTAGGACGGTCCTCGACATCGTCGAAGCAGTCGGCGTGATGGGTATACATAATTCTTCCCGTATCTGTATTCATGTCAAATCCAAATGGCACCAACAGGCAAGGGAAACCCTCTAGTTCATCCGTCTCTGCCGCCTCCTCCAACTTGTCGAATGGTGACCCACACTCGGATGAAAGGGATGAGAAGGCACGAAAACTGCGCTTCAAGGAGCCAGTAGTGCTGCAGAGGGATTGGGATTGGGAGAACTTGATGGATGCAAAGGCAAAAAGGCCTTGTGGGCGATCGTTGATGTGCCGCCGCCCGCCCATGAAAGTTTGAGATCTCTTCAAAGATGTGCTCCATAGCTGATCTCCACCCATCGGCCTAACTTGACTAGACAGCAACAATCTCTCTGATACCATGAAACTCATGATCCTGTTCTCCTCCTCCCTGTATATGCTCCCGTTCTTCTGTTGCTTACGTTAGTGAGGGAAGTCCGTCCAGCAAAGGAGGCTGCGCAGACGGTTGCGTGATGAAGAAGAGTTTGAGATGTTGGCTGGGATTAGAAGAAGAGGTTCAATGGACATCTTTAGGTATTTAATTTCAAGGAAAAAACGCGTCCCCGAGGTTTGTTGCGTATTACGAAACGAACCTTACAATATGACCAAATCACACTCATCCTCTTTCAGTGACTTATGCAGTTAATCACAGCTAGGGATGGTAATGGAGCGGATGCCCACGGATAACCGCCTCGCGGGGGCTCTCGGGGTGGGGGTGGGGGGAAAAAGTTTAGAAACGGGGCGGGGGTATACTCCCCCACCCCATCCCCGCCTCGCCACCCGCAAAAAAAATTATATATATATAATTATATATAATATGTAATTTAATTAGTTATAAACTTATGATAATGATATTATTAGTTAGATGTATTATATAATGTATATTAGTGTATGTAATATAATTGATATTATCAATTATACGAATAATTAGACATGTCTACTAATAGAATTTATTAATTAGTTATACTAAATTTACTAATACATTTATACTAAATTTCTAATTACACTTAATAGAATAACACTTTTTTCTCAAAAAAAAAGCACAAACACAATAATGAATTAGTGATTGTATTTGTACCAAAAGTGAAAACTTAACTATTTTAGTTGTATTTATTTCATCATGTTGGATTGTATTCAAATAACTTTTGTTTGATTGTTTTTATGAGTTTCAATTGTAAAATTACAATGAATAATAACTTGATGATGTGTTGATATTTTTATACTTGATTATTTATTAAAATTTAACTATAATAAAATTTTATTAACCT